TTCACGGTGTATAATTTACCTTTTCATCATTACTGTTTCATTAGAAACACCGACGCAGCTCACACTAGTTTTTAGCTAGTTATATCTTCTTATTCCTATTCGGTTTGTTATTAGCCTGTATAAGTTCGATCAGACGTTGTCAGTCATATAAGCAATATCGATCCGCGAAAAGTAGACCTACGCTTTCCTATCTTTACTGACAAAGTTTACTGACAAGAACACTTACTGCACTTGGATCATCATATGTCTATATTTACTGTTTATTTTGTGGCCTAAAAAAGGGCAAAACCTGCAAATATTTTAATATCATGTAGAGAACACCTTAAGGAAGAAGACCGTCTTAGACAAGTTAAAAAGAATTCATTCTTTTCTTTGAACCATTCTATTATCTTTTGACTAACATTGCAACGTACGAGTCCTCTGTGCATGATACAGGTAACCCAGTGAACGCCTGTAGGGCGTCTTGTTTGGAGTCAGATTCTCCGGTACAGTTTTCCTGACGTTTTTACTTGACTCCGTCAGTAAACCTCATCATTTTAAGGTTCTGTAAAACGGCCCCAACATTTAACCAAACACCGATTTGACCCACGAATTTAGCCAAAATTTGACCGAACATTGTTAGCAGACCATGACAAATATTTTATAAGGATTTGTATGGGAGAATGTACTGGGCCCGGTTGTACGAAGCCTGGGTAGCGTTATCCGACGGATAAATGTTATCCAGTGGATAAATCTATTGGATAACAGCATGGACTTACCCACTGGATAAGGATTTCCTTTTCCTTCTTACTAATACTGAGGTGCTCTTTTCATTTCTGATGTTCATTTTGAAACAACTTCTCTTTTTAAGGGGAGTAGGGTTACGTGACCAACGGTTGCAAAGGCCCATTCCAATAGTCTTCTTCACAGTTCCCAGCGCCATCTCAAAAGGTAGCCGTGCCTTTGCATCGAAGCGAGACAAACGGTGAGCTTGCAATGATAGAAACCTGTAAATAATTGTCCAAGGTGTTAAAAAAGATCTCTATCATTGCAAGCTCACCGTTCGTCTCGCTTCGATTCAAAGGCACGGCTAGCTTTCAAGAGTGCGCAGGGAACCGTGAAGGGGACTATTTGATGGTTGAATTAGTGCTCTGAGTTTAATTAGCCTAGAGGTTGTTTTATTGTTCCATAAAACATGTAAACCATCCTAAAACGTTTTCTGCCGAGTTTAGTTATTCAGTGTTTATTATTTCTTCCGTTATTCCAGCGATGAATTACCCATAGATCAACTAAAACTAGCCAAACAGATGGGGTTTTCTGATCGACAACTGAGCAGGCTAATGGGAACAGATGAGATGACTGTCAGACAAAATCGGATCAACCAGGGAGTAAAGCCTTGGGTTAAACAGGTAAAAAAATTCTTTGAAATTTCGTTCAAGCAATAAATCCTCAAAAAAAGTTGTGATAATGTTTTCTATTTCCACAGATCGATACGATGGCTGCTGAGTATCCCGCCAAGACTAACTACCTTTACATCACCTACAATGGCAGCGAGAACGATCTGGCGTTCGACGACCATGGGGTGATGGTGTTAGGGTGTGGTCCATATCATATTGGTAGTAGTGTAGAGTTTGATTGGTGTGCAGTATCTTGTATTAGAACACTAAGGGACCTTGGAATGAAAACAGTGAGTATTACCGACGATCTGATGATCGTGGGGTGATGGTGTTAGGCATTAGTCTGTCAGTGAACAGCGGTAGAAAGTGGAAGAAAAAGGATGTTGCCCTTCTAATGTTTTCGTTATTTTTCCAGGTGGTTGTGAACAACAACCCAGAGACCGTCAGTACAGACTATGACGAGTGTGACAGACTTTATTTTGAGGAACTGTCCCTGGAACGGGTACTGGATATTTATCAACAAGAGGTTCGTACACGAGGAATGAAAATACAAGTAAAATAAAGACAATGTAAAGTAATTTGCTATGCATTTTTTTGATTTCCTTCTTTTTCTTGGAAATCTTTTTGGTAACAGCATATGTAATCAATAGTGAATACAGGGGTGGTTCCATGGGATTTGTGGAACTTTCCTTTGTGAGATCTTGTGAAGCCAATCATTTTTCTTTATGCTCAGTAGAATGAAATTGAAACGCCTCTTTGCGAAGCTTGGCCGCCATTTTGGAATTACCCTTTTTCAAACCCTGGATCTGCCATTGGTACTCAGTTTAAGAAGCATTTTTTATCAAAAATAATCAGTTCTAAAATTTTTAGAAGGAAACATTAGAAGATCATGAATAATATTGCTCCTGAGAGAAACGGTGTTAGTATAGGAACTAATCTGATCGATATAGTGGACTGGGCAGGGTATATACTTGTGTAGACGGGAAATCGCTGCTTGGATCGGTTACGATATCGCAGTTTGGAAACAAAATAGGATGACTCTATTTCTTGTGAAGTACATTTATAAGGAGAACAAAGTCATAGAAAAAAAACCTGACTAGATAAGGTGCAATTTTTAAAATTTCACCCTTGCAGGTACTAACCCAACCAAAGGGGTTTAACTTTATTATCGTTTTAAGAGCAAGACGTTTTGCGAGTGGACTAGTGGTTTAAGTGACTTACCAAAACAAAAGCCGTGATAATAATGGAGCAAAAAGACTTTATTATTTTCCACTTCAATTGAACACAGATAGTGCAAGGGATCGGATTAGCTGTAAAATTCAGGCACGGGCATAGTGCCCTAGCATAATACCATTTTCACTCTTTGTTCATGCGAAAACGATCATTGAGAGTACATTTCTTGCTGAGCACGATGACTATGTGCCCGAGTGCCAGGCTGGTTCACTTGTTCTCAGGCACCAAGTGTCTAAGCACTATAAGTGTGAACACTATGTGAACACACGGGTGCCCGAGTGAAAGGCTGGTTCACTTGTTCTCAGGCACCAAGTGTCCAAGCACTATAAGCGCTAACACGCTCTTATAACCATCATAATATGATTTCACACTATTTCACTCCGATCTGTCAAGAGTATATAGTGTGGATGGTTATGTTACTTACCTATTGATGGCTAAATCCCTGACCCTGGTACTAAAGTGTTTTATATTTACTTCCTTCCGTTCCACGTTAGGGATGTCAAGGAGCAATTATATCCGTGGGAGGTCAAATACCTAACAACTTATCTTTGCCGTTGTTCAAAAATGGAGTCAACATCCTTGGAACTTCACCTCTGATGATTGACGCTGCCGAGGAAAGGTTGGTCAATATTTGAAGATCATGAACCTAAGGCCTTCAAGCCTAGCTAGGTTTTTAAGCGCTATGCTCGAGTTCTCTTGTTTTTCTCCAACCGGCTATCCTCGTTGACTGGTCTATTTTCTCAGCCACGCTACCCTGCCCCCTTCCAAAGTTATATTTTTTCCAATTGTCCTGCTGGTAATATATCTTACTATCATACAGGTCACGATTCTCTGAGATCATAGATGAGATTGGTGTTGACCAAGCACCATGGAGGGCCCTCTACTCAGTGGTAAGTTCGGATACGCTAGCAAATATTTACTAATTGTCACTAATTTCTTTGAAGTTCAACTTTTTATTTATTTTGTTCGCCTGCAGAAAGACGCCTTAGATTTTGCTGCTACTGTCGGTTACCCATGTCTTCTGCGACCTTCCTACGTATTGAGGTATGTATGCAGTATATGGGGTGTCCTACCGCATCTTATATTGAGGTTTGACCCCGAGGTACGGATGTCAAAGAAGAATATATCGTATGGTTGCCTTTTCCCATGTCGTGCTGGTTGTTACTCTTTGAGAATCGCGTCATACCTCTGGTGACCAGTTTATACTGAGGGTAGAGATATCGCGGATGTCAAAGTGCTTGTTGTGCGCACTGAGTGTCACGCCGGGTGTCTTATTACCAAATACCCTTCTAGCCCGAATGGGCTATGAGTCAATAACCCATGGAACTGAAGGCCGAATGAGCTATTGACGCATAGGTCATGAGAGCGAGAGGACTAATTGTATTGTAGTCAAATTCAACTAGTCGGTCAAATATAAAGATGCAAAAAAGTTTTAAATTAAAGTAAATTTAATATTTTGGTTTTCAAATCGACACTTTTCGGTACTAGTAGGATATAACTTATAGCCTAGTAGCAGCTCATCCAATCAGAACGCAGCATTGATGATAGACCACTAGTAAGCTATTAGTTCATAGCCTAGTAGCAGCTCATCCAATCAGAACGCAGCATTGATGATAGACCACTAGTAAGCTATTAGCTCATAGCCTAGTAGTAGCTCATCCAATCAGAACGCAGCATTGATGATAGACCTCATCCAATCAGAACGCAGCATTGATGATAGACCACTAGTTGAATTTGACTATTTATAACTATTGTTTTTGACACTAAAATATATTAGTCACTTGTCAAAAACAATAGTTATAAATATTTTTATTTATGATTGAATTTTAGTGGCTCAGCTATGAATGTAGCCTATGGTCCTGACGAGCTGAGAGGATTCCTGAGAGACGCTGCACGAGTATCTGAGGTAACTGAAAATATTGTCGTATGTATGTGAGTAGAGTTGTTTGTTGGTTCTCTCCAGTGCTTCGAGGGTTTTTCCCCCGGGTTCTCCGGTTTTTATCCCTTCGCAAAAATCAACTTCTAAATTCCAATTCAATAACAGGAGTAATTATACAGTTTCTCATTAATCCCATATAGGTAACTGTCCAATTATTTTCTTGATTGGACAGGTCTTGTTGATATGGGATTAATTAGGCAGCTATATAATTAATAGGTAATGGGATTTCATGCTCCCCAATCAAGAAATAATTAGACTCGAAAAATTCCTCTGACTGCCAAATTGGACTCGACCTACGGCCTCATCCAATTTTGTCAGTCCTCGGAATTTTCCTCGTCCAATTATTTCTTTATTGGACAGCATGGAGTCCTATTACATATGCATATTCTCGCATAGGGTTAGTCTCCTATATCTTCTTTCGCACTATAATAAATTAGTTATTATTTATTGGATGCCTGAAAATAACATATTTAAACACTGTAAAATATAAAATATCCATCAATAATATAATCAAGAAAAACTTAACTGGGGATACATGGTAATAAAACATATAATTAGTTGGCTAATCAAGAAATGTTAAGCGAACGTTAGTTCAATTCTCTTTGATCTAGCACTAAGAGAGGGTTGGCTTGGTTAATGGTGGATGTCGACCTACTAAATAGTCAATAAAGTCAATAAAGTCAATAAAGCGGCCTTTCACTCATTATGAAAATACTTTGATATATATATATAATGTAAATTCTCAAAAATAGCAACAACATACTTGTTTATGTCAGCGCCTTGCTTCCTAATGCTTCGTCTTTTTTTCCATAGGAACACCCTGTGGTCATGACTAAGTTCATCCTTGGAGCTCGAGAAATCGAAATGGACGCTGTGGCCAAGAATGGCCAGGTCATATGTCATGCTATCTCCGAACATGTCGAGAATGCTGGTGTTCATTCAGGAGACGCCACCCTTATCTTACCACCACAAACTGTCAGCCTTGAAACTATTGACAAGGTAAGAACTGAAAGGAGAAAGGTGGAGCAACGGGGCAGGGAAGGAAATAAAACTTCAAAATTCTCAGTTAAAACTGCAGTCGGGTGTCAAATGTTTACGGCTCAGGTGTTTTCAGCAGCCTTTATTAGAAGTAAACCAACATGACTGACAGATATGTGAAGGGCTGCACTGCCTGCTGCAGTGCGCAGTTCAAAACTTTTTCAGATTCCCGTCAATTTTCCTTCTCTTCATTTATTATCTTATTCGTGCAAAACATGAGACCATTACGAGCGCTAATAGCCAATTGTTATAGCTTCTGATAGTAACATGATGCTAATCTGATAAGGATAAATACGCTAATAAAAGAGAGCACAGTTGTGTTGTTTAAGTTAGATCTTCTCTTTCAACAGATCAAAGATGTGACTCGTAAGATTGCGCAAAGGTTTATGATATCTGGTCCGTTCAACATGCAGTTTCTCGCTAAAGGCGATAGAATCATGGTAAGAGGGATGTAACTATGTACAAATCCTTATACTAAAGTCAATCAATCAATCAATGACTTAATTAATGTGTCTAAACTTCTAGCGTTCCACAGGTGGCAACACTAATCGGGGACACCTGAATCTAAATAAATAATCTCAAAAACATAATGATAATAATATTAATATAAAAATACTAATGTATATATAATAATATAACAATAATAAGTTAATAAAAATATGAAGAAATATATAGTATTATAGAGATTATTTCTAAATCGAGTCGTGTAGATCACTCCCAATCCGGAGGACAAAACAATGGATTCCAAAAAACAACAGGAGAGCAAAATTCCACTGCACTGTACCCCAAATCGATCCGCATGCCCTTTTACACGAGCGATTTTTGCGGAATTTAATGTGCGATTGATAGTAACGTTTGTGTGATCGTGTAGGTCATTGAATGCAATCTCCTTTCTTTACCATCACTACAGCACATATTGTTGATAGTAATCGTTTTTTTTTTCATCATGTAGGTCATTGAATGCAATCTCCTTTCTTCACCATCACTACAGCACATATTGTTGATAGTAATCGTTTTTTTTTTCATCATGTAGGTCATTGAATGCAATCTCCTTTCTTTACCATCGCTACAGCACATATTGTTGATAGTAATCGTTTTTTTTTCATCATGTAGGTCATTGAATGCAATCTCCTTTCTTTACCATCACTACAGCACATATTGTTGATAGTAACGTTTGTTTGATCATGTAGGTCATTGAATGTAATCTCCGTGCTTCGCGATCCTTCCCGTTCGTGTCCAAGACGCTTGGTGTAGATTTTATAGACTGTGCTACAAAAGTCATGATAGACCATCCTCAGGATCTGGACAAACTGCCTCACCTTAATACCCCAATAAAACCAGAGGGTTATGTCGGGATAAAGGTACGTGAGAGGAAGAGAAAAAATTTCACAGAATCAGTCGAGACAAGTGATCTAGACGGTCCACTCGATCCATCTCCAAGCACATCTATGCAAGACACTAAAAAACCATGAATAATTCACAAATCCTTGGTCGAATCTGTAGAGCTACTATACACGTCACGATCATAAACTTTTATACTTCAGAGGCTTGTACGTCACGTACATGCGCAGTCCTTATTAGCGTTCTTTATATAAAGAATACTAATGAAGATTACTTTATGGGGATTGAAGGTCCATGCACGTGATGTGTATGGTTGCTCCATGCTCCAATAAACCTATCCCGAATTCGCTTGACTGATCACGAAACAATGGTTTCAAGTCGAGGTTGAACTTGATGAATAAAAGAATCAAGTCCAGTCTCGACTTCAAACCATTGTTTCGTGGTCAGTCAAGCGAATTCGGGATAGGTCTATTGGATCAATGTTTTATGAATTTTTGATAGATTGTTAACAGAAGCAACACCTATTACTGATGCTCTGTTAGATAGAATAGTGAACATTCATACATAAAACTTCAGGCACCGATGTTTTCTTGGCCTCGTCTTCGCGATGCTGACCCCTTGCTGAAATGTGAGATGGCTTCTACTGGAGAGGTAAGGCTGGATAAAACAATCACGTGATCAGGCGTTCTCTGTGACGTCAGTTTACTCCCAGGAATGAAGAGTCGATGTATTATATTTGACTGAATGACTGACCGACTAACTAAAGGATTGACTCAGAATTGGCTTACTGATCACCGACGATTTTTCTAATGAACATTTGTTACAATGACTGACAGACTAACTTAGGCATGGACCAATTTACGGGCTGACTGAGGACTTTCCTGATGGACTGACGCCGACTAAATTACCAATACTGACTCATTGTTGGAGGGACTGACTGACTGACGGACTGAATGATGACTGACTGAAGGAAATATGGACGGACTGCCATGGGTCAGGGTTTTGAGGTCCTGGCGGCACACCCCTACCCAAGTTGGGGTGGTAGTACCCCCCCGGGACTGAGAGTCACGATGTGTGGAACAAGCCTAGTTTGCTTTCTGTTTGCCATAACGTTAACGAATAGTTTATTTGTCGAGTTTCTAAAGCGCGAGTCTTATAACTATTTCAACATGAATATATGTCTGTCTTTCTACCTTTCCAGGTTGCGTGTTTTGGCAAAGATCTTCATTCCGCGTTCCTCAAGGCAGTCATGTCTGCTGGCTTCCGCCTTCCAAACAAAAATATCTTGATCGGTATACAGGTATATGATATATTGTTTGCTTGTCTCTCTTAGTGTTCTTTATTCTCATCATGCATTATTATCATCTGTCTCCCGGCGCTATCATCACTAACATTAGTCCCCATCATCATCATGATGTGCATCACCAGCATGCGTGCATGCATAATCATCATCGTCATCATCATCATCTTCTTCTTCATCATCATCATCATCATTAACATCATCATCATCTTCATCATCATGTATCCCATGATCATCGTGCATTAATTATGATCATCACCATCACCGTCATCACCATTATCATGCATCCTGCATCATCACTATAATCATCATTATCACCATAATAATAATAATCATCAATTCCCGAGGTATTTTAATCAGTTGAATCAGGATCAAGTCAGAAATGTGATCTTAAAAACATTACGTCTGAATTACATGAAACGGCCAGCTGTAAAAGCTTTTTGGATGTTGTTTTCCAACAGCAATCGTTCCAGCCAGAATTCCTCCCCACGGCTCACAAACTCCACAAGTTAGGATACAACTTGTACGCAACAGAGGCCACTGCCCGGTACTTGAACGAGCACGGAATCGCAGCCCAGCCTGTCGAGTGGCCCCTTCACGACAAAGGAGAACACCCCAACGTTACCAAACTGATCACAGATAAGAAGATAGACATGGTGATCAACCTACCAAACCATAATACCAAGTATATCAAGGATAACTATCTGATCAGACGAGCTTCTATCGATTCTGGTGTTCCACTGGTTACCAATTTTCAGGTATTTGAATACTCCAGTTTCGAGTTCTCTGTTGCTCAGGGTTAAGCCTCGAGTTTGTTCAGGATTTTCATGTGTTTCAGTGAAGGTTCGTGGAATTTCAAAGAAGTTCTATTGTTCATGTTGATTTGTGCATATTTTACTTTACTGTTGATATTTGTGAATATTTAGACGCTGATTCGAGGCTTGAACCCTGAGTAAACGAGTCTGTAATCAAGGAACACAGCGGTAATTTGGAACTCCAAAATGTTCTATTAGCTTTATCATTGTGCAGACGATCTATAAATTGGGGTTTGCACAGTAAATAATGTACTAGAAGTGGTCCTTGGTGATCCTCTTTCTTTTCTTCAGGATTTTTCACCCCTCACCTCGTTAGTAAATTTTCAAAGTTTCTTTGAAAGCTTTTAACAAATTCTTATTTTTCCGCTTTGTCAAATATTATAGTAAAAAGCAAAAATTAAGTTTCTACTTAGATTTAGGGAAATAGCCAGTTGAAAAATCGAGTAACCAAGGTTTTTTTTTCTTCAGGTCACTAAACTCCTTGTGGAAGCTTTATCCAAGAAAGAAGACCTCGACGCATCAACACTTTTTCATTTTCAGTCCAAGCGTAAATTTTCTCCCTAGCAGAGAAGGGTTAACCTGCAGCGAATATCAGCTCAATTTTATTTCTACTAAAAGATCCTAATATTATAAACGTAAATGTTTTTAGGAAAAGTACCTTGGAAGAAAGATTTGTTAGTCTAATGAGCCAAAGGCTTTAGGTTTAGAAGTTTGTTTTTTTAGAAGTATGATCGACACTATAAATATATACTTCACGGAAYCCTTTTGATGAGGTAAAATAATTTGCAATGTACACATATCAAACATTGAGTGTCGTATTTCCGTGTGTCTGTTGTCTGCGAGGCAGATCCACGAGTTAGCATCGTTAGCATCATCGATTTTCCAAAGTTTTTCTTTCTTTTTTTTTTTTTTTGTCTTTTTTTTCCAAAAATGTTCATGTCAAATTCATCATAAAACGACGGCCTTTTTGTTCGCTGCTTTTCCGCACAATCCAAATATGGAATTGATCATACCATATATGGAGTGAGCTTTCTCTACTCCAACTTCGACACTAACATATAGAGTACGGTAGAAACTAGATAAACTAGTTAGAGTACGGCTTGATATGGGTCGTTCCCCGATAAATCCACTCTCATATGTTTTGTCTTATTATGAAATTATCACGCATTGCTATGAAAATTGTACTGTGTATAAACATTTAAAAAAATATCTAAATTGTCCTCGTTTAATATGTCTGTTAGTTCTCGTATACTTCTTGTGGCCAGGGGGGAGAAACATAAAAAAAATTAAAGGGATGTACCTGGTTTTAGGCGTTGGCGCTTCACAAAGGCTGGTATAATATTCATGAGATTCATTTAAATGTTATATACGTCAGGCTTTGTATCTATCTAATAATGCGTTTACCACTCCTGAGTGGACGACTTAATGCCTAACAGGTTGCCTATCCCTAACCCTAAGGCAGCCGAAAGATCGAATTAGAATTTAGAGTATTTCAATCTACATGTCTATTTCTTTTAATTTCGCCTAAAGTGGACTCCCTGTGGTTACAGTGTATTTTATTCTGTCTAAATTTTTATGACACGTACGACCCGGGTTCAGATGCCACAAACCTGTTTACTCAGTGCTTCAGTGGCTGCCTTCCATCAAATTTACTAAAGACGGTTTGCGTTACTTCGATAGTCACACTCGCCTCACGTCTGGGTTCGATTCCTGGACTCGGGATCAGATGTAAGTAGAGTCAGTAGTTTTCTTATAGGTCGGTCTCCCTTTATGTAATGTATACAACATGAGCGGCCGTGTTGTATCGACTATACGATCACGAGCCGGAGGTATGCTAGCCCAAACGTGACAAAACTTCAAGTTGCATTTTTTCATGATCAAGCAGTACTTTTTATACATCAAGTTGATTTTCATTACACCAAG